AAAAATACTCTTATTAATAAGCAATACAAATGTAGGAGGGAATTGCAATGGCATACCCTACAACAGGACACTATTGCTTCAGAAGATTGCTGTGCTGGAATATTCAAAACACCGATTCACAAATTTTTATAAAATCTCACATTGCACAAAAATCCTACATTTTTTAGTTCAAAATTATTGACCTGACAAAAAAATAAATATATTCCCAAAATTTTCCCAACACCTTCCTTAACTCAACATACCCTACATTTCATTATAAACGGCCTGCCTGACTGCCAGCTAACCAACCTTGCTTAGATATGATGCTTCTCAACAACTACCGGCTTAACAGACAAATGCAACATTGTTTTGTAAACAAAAATTAATGATAGCAATTTGCAATACAACATACATTGTTGCATGCCACAAGAGTAACAGCTTTTTCTCTTCCTGTATTTTAAAAATTCTATTCCTCTATTCCATACAACTAAACATTCTAAGCATCCTTTATAGAAAGGTATATAGAACCCCATAATAAACTATTGATACGAATACAAAAACGATAAATATTTTATTTATAGAAAATAAAACCAACAACAACAACATTTGTGCATGAATATTTGCATATAGTCCGTGGACCCAAAGCGAATTTTGGAATGTGGTATCTGCTAGGCTGAAACACTTGTCCTCAGCATTCCCCCCTTATGTTTCCCCGACTAATGTCATTTTAAATGCAATAAAATGGAGATTTTCATTTTTTCACCAACTAGCAGTAGTTAGCCAGAAGTGTCTGCTAATGTTTCGAATTTGTGATCATTATAATGAAATATCATCTTCAGTTTGGCGTTAATTGTCGTACATTAATATTGAAATCACCTTCACCTTGTGGGAGAGTAGCACTTTTCTAAAGAAGTATAAAACTTGTTGACACTTTGTGGGTGATGCACCAGAAGGGGTGGATGGAACATTATACAGGCATAATATTAATTTATAACTAAATTTCGACTATTTTATGTGGATGTTACCAGATGTCTGACATTATTTACAGCCTTTGAGAGTTATCGTACGCACCAGTCGGTTAAACAGATGGGACTAGGGATAAGCAAATCGACTTTCGACTAATCGATTAAACAACTTTTTGTATTGAAAAGTCTAAAAGTCGAAATCAACTTTTGAAATTTGTGAAAGCCGAAGTTGCCCAAAAATTACACATTCCAAAATTTTATTTGATCTGTTGACAACAATACTTCTAATAATCTAATTTTAAGTCGATTTTGCTTTAGTCCGTTAAAGTTGAAAATAGATTTCGAACAGGTTTGACAAAATCAAAAAATCGAAAAGTCAACTTTTAAGTCAAATACAAAATTCGAAATATTTAAAAGTCGACCTTTTTGGTCAGAGGCAGAAATCGAAATGTCTAAAAATCGACTTTTGCGCTCGACTACGTATCCCTAGATGGGACATTTCTAAATCGACTCCATATTGTCTCAAACGGACGTTTCTCTGGCGTATATAACCGATATTTTGATGAACCACATTTTTGTAGTAGCCACATGGCTTGAAGTTCGAACGTTTCGAATTTGTATGCCCAAAAATTCAATATTTGGAATATGTGCAATAAAGAAATCCGAAATGGCAAATTACGGCCACATTGGTGACTTTTACTTCTGTCAGTTTTCTTGAGAGCACGGAGCTTCCACAAAGCATCACCTTCTAACTCGATTAGCCCTTGCGTTATTTTCGTTAATCATGTTTATTTGGTCCAGCAAAGTAGAATATTGTTCTGCTGTATCCTGTCCTAGACTATGTGGCTACCGTCTATCGTGGACTAGAAACAACGCATCCTTTCTACAATGTCTGAATTCTTTGCCCATTTTTGGCCCAATCAATCCTATTTGCTCGCGTTCGCCTATATTATTTTGATCCAATCGTTCATTTAAATCTTCGCGTTTATTGTTCGAATTTATGAACTTGTGCCAATGAATTGAATTGTTTCGCATGTCGATACCGAGGTCAGGTACTATGTTTGTATTCTGGATTATTAGGAATTGTCATTTTCTTCTGGATAATGCTGTCTGTCTCCTGTCATTTCTATTCTGTCTTATCCTCATGTGTTGATGACGAAGTAAATTATTAGAATGACAGGGGACTTCTGGTGTATTTCATTTGGAGAGAGATGTAAGCTTTTTTTGGTTTTTTTTTTAGGTGATGGGTCTGCCATCAATCGCTGCCTAGAAACAACATCGCCTTTGTAAAAAGGTTGTTGTTGTAGCAGCCCCCTCACCTTTACACAATCGGCTGAGGAGACGGACTTTGGTCGAGTATGACTCGGGTCGTTTCGGATCATATATACCCCCTGTCATGAAAACGAAAGTAAAGTTGTTGGGGTCTTTGCTTATGTAGTTTAGTAATTATCCTCGGGGTTTTGTTATGTTCTGCCATTCCTATTGTGAGCATTCATCCGTGTTGATGACGAGGTTACTTATAAGAATATCCGCCTGGCATCGGACGCATTTCATCAGGATGGGGGTTATGTCTAATTTTAAAATATTCGAAAACTACATTAAAAGCAATTCTAGGTGATAGGACTGCCATCTGTCGTTGTCTCGAAATCCAACGTCTCCTTAAATTTTTACATTGGTTGGAGCCTTGGCTTATTTAGTGTTGCAATTTTTCTCTGTGTGGCATTATCTCCTGTCATATATATTTTGTGTTAACCTGGTGTGTGATGTCGAGGTTAGTTAAAATATTGTCAGGGAGCTTCTAACGCATAACATTTTTAGGGAGGTGGTAAGTATTTGAAATTCACATTGAAATGTGTTTCCCTAGAAGAGGCTGCCATCTATAATTGTCTAGAACCAACGTCGAGTTCTGAACAGTGGTTGTGGTCTTTGTTTATTTAGTGTCGCCATTTTGGTTTGGGTGGCGTCATCTCCTGCCATTTACAATTTGTGTCATCTTCATGTGTTTATGTTGACGCCGAGGTTAGTTATTAAAATGTATGTGGTATTCGAAAGCATTTCAAATGAAGAGAGATGAAAACCTCTTTTTTAAAGTATTACCAAACCTCATTGAAAATTATTTCCTAGGAGATGAGACTATCATTTGTCGTTAACTAGAAATAACCTCTTCTGGGATTTTTTTTGCAGTGGTTATGTTCTTTGCAAATTTCGCCACATTCCTCTGAGTGTTGCTATCTCTTACCATTCCTATTTTGGGTTATCGTCAGAGTTGATGCTAGGCTTTAGAGAGGGATATAAGATATTCGAAAGTCATATTGAAAGAAATTTTCAATGATGAAGCTGTCATCTAACGTTGCATATTATCAGAGACTTCTTGAATTGTATACCTTGATGGGGTCCTTTCTTATTTAGTGTTGCCATTTGCTTCTGGGAGCCGCTATCTCATGTGATTCCTATTTAGTGTTATCATCATGTGTTAATGCCGAGGTTTCATTAGGATGCAATCTAACGTTGTATATTATCAGAGACTTCTTGAATTGTATACCTTGATGGGGTCCTTTCTTATTTTGTGTTGCCATTTGCTTCTGGTAGCCGCTATCTCCTGTGATTCCTATTTAGTGTTATCATCATGTGTTAATGTTAGGATGGGGATGTAAGGACATATTTAAAAATATTTGAAAATAACTTTAAAATAGTCCTGGGTGATAATACTGTCATATGTCATTGACTGTAATCTTGCTGTCATTTTCCTCTGGGTGGCGCTATCTCCTGTTATTTCTAGTTTGTGTTATCATCATGTGTTGATTTTGATGTCGATGTTTGTTATGAGAATGTCAGGTGACTTCGAGGGTGATTTAAGATTTTTTTAAATATTCAAAATTTATATTATACAAATTTTTCCTAGGTAATGGGCCTGACATCTATCGCTGCCTAGAAACAACTTTTGACTTTTTACAGTGGTTTGGATCATTGCTTATTTAGTCTTGTCATTTTCATCTGTGAGAAAAGATTGTGGGTAGCCATCTACCATTGCCTAGAAACATCGCCTACTTGAATTTTATACAGAATTAGAATGTCAGAAGGTTTCGTGTGCCTTTAGTCTATTTATTAGAAAACCTCATTGAAAGCTGTTTTCCTAGGTTTCCATCTGTAGTTGCTTATACTCATGGTACCCTTGAATTTTCTTCAGTGGTTGGGGCCCTTGTTTATTTAGTATCCCAATTTTCCTCTGGATGGCTCAATCTACTGCCTTTTCTATGCGACGAACGATCGAAATAAAAGGAAATATGGATCTAAAGAATTACCTACTTAATTTTATGGAGCGAGCCAAAAAGGGCAAACCGGATAATGGGGTTGGGATCACTTTCTGGATGACTGGTAGCCACTATAACTATCGAAGTGTGTACACGATTTCGTCAAAACTTTGAAAGCCGTAATATAAAGTTGGATGAATGGAATATTGAATATTGAGAATAAAATATTCGAATTTGGATCCGATTGATTTTTTTTTTCAAGTAACACCCACTGCATATGATTTGCTATAGTCACCTGCGTTGGAAATTGAGGGTAGAACCATCAAGACCACCTTATTAAATTTATTAATATTCTTCATAATTTTGACTTTGCTAATAAAGAATTGTTTTTATTTTTTTCTAGGTCACAATTATCCTCAAAGACGTCAACGATGAAGCTCCCATCTTTGTTAGCAGTAATTATACAGAAATTCTCGAAAATATACCACTTAACACTGTGGTAATGGTAGTCAAGGCCATTGATCGTGATGAAGGCAAAAATGGTTATATCGAATACACACTGGATGGTGGTGGTAATGGTGAAACCCAGGTACCCTTTACATTGGGTCCAGTGGATGGTTTACTACGAGTCTCCGGCAAATTAGATCGTGAAACCCAGACATCATATCTGCTCAATATTACAGCACGTGATCGTGGAGAACCGGCCAAGCTGACCCAAAGTCAATTATATGTTCGAGTGTTGGATGAAAATGATAATGCACCGATATTTGATCCCAAGCAATATACCGCCTCGGTGGCTGAAAATGCCAGTATTGGAGCCATGGTATTGCAAGTGTCGGCCACAGATGTGGATGATGGGGCCAATGGCCGGGTACGTTATTCCATTGTGGCCGGTGATGATAATCGTGATTTTATGATTAGTGAGGATTCGGGAATTGTGAGAGTATCGAAGAATTTGAATTATGAAAGGAAATCGAGATATGTATTGTCCATTAAGGCTGAAGATTCTGCAGCGGATTTGGGTTTGGCCTATGAAAATGAAAAGGGAAGGCAAAAGCTAACACATTTATTTGAAAATCGTTATGATTTGGCGGAAATGGTCATAGTCATTACCGATATTAATGACAATCCACCGACCTTCTTGGATTCACCTTATTTGGCATATGTTATGGAAAATGTTGTACCACCCAATGGTGGTTATGTCCTTAGTGTCCAAGCCTATGATGCCGATACACCACCATTCAATTCATTGGTACGATATTTTCTCAAAGAAGGTGATACCGATCTATTTCGCATAAATGCATCGACGGGTGAAATATCGCTGCTGCGTTCATTGGACCGGGAGGCGAAATCGGAATATACATTGACGCTGGTTGCCATGGATACGGGTAAGTGCATAGTTATATTTTAAGAAGAGGAAAAAAGTATATATTGATTATAATCTTTGGCAACAAGTGTTCGGCCATTAAAGCCTTTCAACTTTGTAAATGGGGGGAATATGCAAAAGAGGTTTTTAGTTAGGATGCACAGGAAAAAAAACTTCTTCACTACAAAGAAAATCATAATTCAGGCAACAACAAAACACGCTGTAATATTTAAATGAGCAGCACCAGGAGTTACTTCGCCATGTGACTGACCATGATGAGGATGATGATGATTATTCGCCATAGCTTTTTCGTTGCTTTGCTCTCCCTTATTTTTGAGATGTTGTTGATTACAATCATTTCACTGAAAGAATTTTATATTTTGCTTAAAGGCTAAAGATCTTTTTTTACATACCACAGCTTGCCTTATTCTCCTCCATTTTTTTTCTTTTTTTGAAGATAAAAAAAATTGAAAACAACATAAAAAGCCATAAAATTCTACATCGTTACACATTTTGCTTATAGTAATGATCGATATTGATATTATTTTGAAATATGTTTTAAAGATTATAATAATCGATGTTCAGCAGCAGCCGCTGAACCAACCGACAGGCTAATTTGGTATGCATTCACATATGTTTGTATGTGTGAGTGTTGTTTCGCATGAAGGACAAGAAGTAACTGCAACAAAAAATTATTAAAGGTTAATGATTTGCATAGCTTACCAAAAGGCTTCTTCAGAAGTTATCAGCAATAATGTATTTTCTTGTTGATAAAATGTATTTCACAACATTTTTATAGGTAGTAAAAGCTGCCACAAGTCTTCTAGAAACTCTTTATAAAAATATGTTTATAACGTTCTATTATTTTTATAAGACAAAATATCTTCAATTTTTTTTTTCATTTTATATGGATTCCCTTAGATATTGGAAGTTTATTTATTAATCTATAGATGTTCTATGCCTTCTTCTAAAAGTCCTTCTATAGATAAAGATTTTCAGCAGGTATTTTATAGAAAAATATTGAAGAAGTATCTTCTTAATTCCAATTCAGGACTTCTATACATACCTTCTATCTACAAATGACGTTTCCCTATATGCCCAGGTTTTGAGCTACTCACACTTCTTTAGTCAAATCATTCTATATAGATTCCTTGTGTTTCTTTTACGTCCTTATTTTCCTGAACCGCCATTTAAATACCACAATACAAGATTTTTGGACCTCAACATATTCAACAAAAATGTGACTCATAAGAGTTATTATAGCATACTTATAGACAAAAAATGGATAATTTATCCTTGTCCTTTTCCATTTTAAACCGGTCCTTGCTCAAAAAATCTAATTACGTATAAATGGTAGTTTATAAAAAAGTGGTGGATTCATCTGAAATATTTACCATAAATATATATGACAATCACCTATTAACGTGCTTATCACGTTAATATATCTAATCGCTAGAGACAGATTCGGACCTAGCATTTTTTAACCAGATTTTCAGGTAATCATCCCTATTTTTGTTTGTGTTTTTAATCAAAATATTTATTTCTATTTAATAAAATACAGGAGAAGAGTATGTTCAAAACAACCATAACACCTTACTAATAATTTTGGAAGTACATTTCTTTTACACAAGGAATCTGGATTACCAAGTTTTGTAAAATGCGGATAAAATTTTGAAAATACTGATCATTAGCACAAAAATACTGACAATAAGTGGAAGCTTTGCATGATCATAAATGATCCTAGAAGTGCGTAGAAAAGTTATTATTGATAAACTGCTGCTCATATAAATTGCTCAGACATATCTCTGAATTGTTTTCTTCGTAAAATACTAGTTAAGGGTTTATTTGATTTTTAGAAAATTGCTCATTATTGATTACAAACCGAGTTAAAAACCAGTAAGGAAAGTCGGATTGTGGCGACTATATTATACCCTTCACCACTTTGGGTATAATGTATATTTGTATCCTTACAATTGCATGTTAATGTTGCCTCGAAGGAACATACTCATGTATTTCTGCTTATGATAAATTTAATTTCATTCGGACAGATTTAGAGTCGTCTGCGCACCATAGGACAAAAATATCCTCAAAAAACCAGTAAGGAAAGTAGTAAATCTGAACCGATTTTAGGAAACTTAACACACATCTAGACCTAATTCATTACGCTGCGCCAAATTTAGTGCAAACCGAAAGATATTAAGGGACTTTGGTGCATCATTTACATTAAATCGGAGAAAAATATATATGGGAGCTATATATAAATTTGAACCGATTTTCAGGAAACATAACACACATTATTCTAGACCTAATTTGTTACGCTGTGCCAAATTTCGTGCAAATCGAAATATATATAGGGACTTTGGTGGACCATTTACATTAAATCGGACAAAATTATATATGAGAGCTATATCTAAATCTGAACCAATTTTCAGGAAACTTAACACACATCATTCTAGAGATAATTCATTACGCTGTGCCAAATTTCGTGCAAATCGAAAAATATGTAGGGACTTTGGTGCACCATTTACCTCAAATCGGACGAAAATATATATGCACCATTTACCTCAAATCGGACGAAAATATATATGGGAGCTATATCTAAATCTGAACCGATTTTTTTCCAATTTTAATAGGGTTCGTCCTTGGGCCAAATTAGTGACCTATGCCAATTTTCATCCAATTCTGATCATAAATGCGACCTGTACATTGTTTACAATTTAACATGGACAGACGGACGAACATGCATAAATCGACTCAGAAAGTGATTATATGCATATTCTCAAAAGGAACCATGGGTCTATCTCGATTCCTTTTGCCTGTTACAAACATATGCACAAAGACATAATACCCTGTACCGCAGTGTGGTGAAGGGTATAAATATGTTTCCTATGATTATTTTAGTCGTGGATATTTTTCAAGGACCTCAAACAGGCGTAGATTATTAAATAATATTTCTCAAGAACCTCAAACAGGCGTAAATTATTAAAGAATATTTTTCAAGGACCTCAAACAGGCGTAGATTATTAAAGAATATTTTTCAAGGACCTCAAACAGGCGTGGATTATTAAAGAATATTTTTCAAGGACCTCAAACAGGCGTGGATTATTAAAGAATATTTTTTCGAGGACCCCAATGAATATTTTTGAAGGACATTCAAGATAATACTTGCGGTGTCTTTAAGGAATATATTAATGGAATCTCAGGACAAAAATAGTGATATTTTTAAGTAATATTTTTGACGGACTTTTAAGACACAAGCCATGAGGTTTTTAATTAATAGTTTTGAAGTACTCTTGGGACGATAATCTTGGAGTTTTTATGAAATATCTTGGAAAGATTCGTAGGAGAAAAAGTGTGGAATTTTTAAGAAATATTTTGAAGGGTTTTTAAGGCATTCATCGTTGGGGTTTTAAGATTTTTTGAATAGATTTCCTTTCCTTTACAAGGGCTCCTACATATTCATATTTCTAATCATTCCCCCTTAGCGATTTCTCCTTTGTTCTAGTCTGGTGTAATGCTAAACAATTTTACATAATTCTTAGAAAATAAAATTCCATGCACTTGATAAGAAAGTAACAACCACATTGTTATTGTTGGTTGACAGCCTGTGGCTATGAATGGCCCATAAAAAAGGACATTAAATCATTTTTTTGGTTTATCATCAAATTTGGGTGGTGCCTATCAAAAATGCTTTAAAGTTGTCAATATTTTTTAGCACTGACCAAAACTCCCCAACACATTCTTTATAAAAAAATCACAAAAAAATGCAGGAAGAAGATTTGGAATCGGGAAATATTACCACTACAAATACACTAACTTTAGCAATTCTTTCACACACACACCAAGAAAGACAACAACATATGTATACCTCGTATCTTAAAATATGAATCTACCCGTTTTCATGGAGCTTGAATTTTATTTTTGTTATTTAGCATGTAGCAGCAACGATTGTTGATTGTACGTCCCCCTGGCCACTATGTGCGAGAGTGTGTGTTTGTATGTGTGTGCCCTTAAACTAAAATACATTTTGATAATTACTGTAATTTGTTAAGAGTTGTTCGTTCTTCATGTGATTTCGTTAGCCTTTGAATGCAGGCAGTCAACCAGTCAGTCAGCCAGCCAGCCACCGAGGAAGGCAGGCAAATAATGTTGCCATAGTTGGAGCAAGTGCAGCAGCAGCATCATTCAGCCAGTAGTTCTTTCTTATGTGGCACATAGCAACATCAGCACAGCGCGACTGCCATTGCCGCTCATCGTCATCAGTCAGTAATAATGCTGTTGAGGGTTATTGCTGCTGATGCATTCGGTAGTTTATGATTATTTTAAAGTGTAAGTTTGACAAATATGCTATGGCCCAAAAGAATTCTTCCTACTCGATGGTGAGGCTGAAGGTGGGGGGTAATTTCGCCCCCCACCCTGTATCCTGCATCACTAACTGGCAGCACTGTAGTTGTTATTACTACTGGTTGGCTACTTTGCTGATGATGCTGCATCGATATATGTGATTGTCTCTCTATATGTGTATGTTAGTGTGTGTGCGACTCCAGTATAATTTATTGTTTTACATAAACCTGGTGGCATATTATGTGCGACTGATGATCGTTATTTTTGCTTCTTTGAATCTTTTGCATTTTGTCTTGCCAAGTTTTTTTGTTTGTTACTTAGCCTTAGCCATAACGGTAATATGCATATGTTACTTATGAATCCATAAAAAGACAACAACAATTGCCATTGTTATATGATGGTGGAAAATTAATTTGTGCTTTCTGTTGTTGTTTTTTTTTCTGAGATAAATTCAACGGAAATTAATGAATCTTCACAGTAGTAGGCAAGAACATTTGTTAAAAATATTCTTCTTAGAGTTAAATGGATATGAAAAAAATAGCAGGACAGCAACAGCTGATGTTTGTCTTATCAGTTGGAATTTGAAAGAGAAAAAAAGTTGTAATGGTTTTAACATAGTTTAACTTGAATGGATATTTAGGAAATATATTAAAATATATTTAGGATAATGACATCCAC